TTATTATTGCTGCATTAATTTTTGGTAAAAAAAAAAAAAAGTGAGAGAAAGTGGTCAAGTCACTACAGTTTTTATAAATCTTTGATTAACTGTACACAGGTTTGTAGGTTTGCTGTTCCGATATATGAACTAGTTCCTTCTGTAAAAGAACAAAAAACCCATACATGAGCAAAAGACTATAAACCTTCCATTTTTGATACCTCCTGCTTGTTGAACACTCAAACTACGTAACTTCTGCCATCTCCTGACTAGCTACTAGTTACTATTAAAAGAGCCATACCCTCAAATTCCAAGACATAAAAAAATATATTTCTGTTGCACATATTTAATACATAAGTTTGCACCTTTGTTCAACACACTGCAAACAGCTTTCCTAAAACACAATTAATACAGCCCAATTCTTTCACTCTTTGTCTGAACACTGGTGCTCAGTGAGATTTTTTTTTTTTTTTTATATACAACAGTAAAGTTAAACTGATTCTCTGGATTACATTCTACTGCTGTTTTGCAGTCCAATAAAGTTTGCCTTTGAAAATGGTAGAACAAGTTAGTTATTAACTGTAATGTTATGTCAGAGCTGACAGCATGGAGCCCTGGGCACCCTGAGCTAGTGGGTGGCATCCCTGCCCATGGCAGCACTGGGGTGGCAGCAGGAATTAGATGAGCCTCAAGGTCCCTGCCAACCCAAACCTTCCTGTGATTCTGTTTCAAATGAAAAAGCTGTATTACTAAAACTTACTTAAAACCTCTCAGCTTAGTGTGCCAGTAAGGGAAGATACATGTCTGAGATTCTAATTCAATTCCTAAATCACTATCCTCATTTTTGATCTCCACTGACATTCATTTTGGTCCTAGAGTAGCTTTTTGACCCCAGAACAGAGAATCCAGGAACCATGGTCTCTTTTTTTGACAAGAGGAAAATAAAATGGAAATAAGGATAAAAATAACAGTCAGAAGACTCATAAGTTATGCCTAATTCATGATTCCATTTCCAACAAAACTTGTTTTGGGATTGAGTGCAAGAAAAATGATGAAAATAAAGTGTCACCACTGATTCATCCTGGATAATTACCCATGTTATACATAATTACACATACAAATATTATATATTACTACTTTATATTTTTAATTTCTGCCCACCTCATAAAACAGGATTCCAAAAACAGCAGAAGGGCTACTGATTTCCTCATTGACTGAAAACATTAACTATTCAAAAATGTATATACAATTTTATAGGTGGCTTACATTTATACAAGTTTTGGACATCAGCTTCTATTGCATAATGATAGTTTAATTATAGATGAAACATTACTATGTTTATGTTTTAAATATGGAAACTGGAACCAACCAGACACATCAGATATAAAAGCCCATGAACACCTAACAGGATAGCATCAACTTCCATTTTTTATCCAATGACCTACATTTAATATTACCACAAAGTAATTGGCATACAGCAAGTTTGGCTTACCCTGTGGCACTGTATTTGCTCACATAACAGGACCAACAAAGGAAAGAGAAAGGATCTAGAACAGTGAGCCATGAGAATTAGAACAAGGCACATAAGGTCACTACTTTAAAGGACAAGGAGAAAAGTTGGAATTAATAGAGTGCATTACCCTCCGGCGCCTGTAGCATGATTCAAGGTTCAGAGTTTCATCATTCTTTTCTGGACAAAACTGTGGAATCCCACTGGCTATAACCTCTGGGCCTTCATTAAATCTTTGCCCTCCTAATCAGTCATTATATCCATCCTTCAGGAAGCAGCTGGTCCTCACTGCGCCCCGAAAATTAGCTCAGCAAGGAACTGAGGGTGCAGGGCAGAGCTGGAATGGATTTCTGGGCCCACAGGCAAAGGCTGTGGCTTCAGGCCTCAGGTGAGGCAGGCCAGGGCTCATTAAAGCTGATCAGTGCAGTCAAGGCTGCACTAAAGTAAGCTGTAAAAAACATGATTGCAACACTTCTATCAGTTGAACAAGGTATCTGGTACCACAGAAACATAACCAGCATTTATGATCCTACTTCAGCATGTTATTTACCTACACATGAAATACCAGTTGTACTGAGAATTTTCTATTTCTACCTGTAAAAGCAAAGCCTAGCAGAAATATTTAAAGCAGTCTGTAAGAAATAAATCTCACATCCTAGATCAAATCCATGGTAAGGGACTCTGAGGTATTCTCCAGGGAAGGCCTTCTGTAGAGCTGAGATGCACGTAGGCACAACTGGGATGCTAAACATGCGAATCAAAAATCATTCAGTTTGCATTATGATTTCACTTAAAATAACTCTCCTGTGTTTTTAATGCCACAAGAACCACATCTTCCTGCTTGCATCTTCTTGTCCACAGAGAGGGATTCTATTGCAGAAAAAAAAAATCTATATGAAGGTAATTATCCAGTAAAAAATACATTAAAGATTGTTACACATTGTATTTCCCCACTAAGTTTAATTTTTCAAAATTTTTTAATTTAAAAGAAGTTCAAGTCATTGATGATTTGCAGTTGATTATAGTGGTTTTGTAGAGTGATTATTTTTCCAGCATAAAATGAAGACTTTTAGAAAAAATGCTAACATATAAGATTCTATGTTACTATTGTATTTGTGGATATAGTATCAATTTCCTATTCTCTAGGAGCAGAAGGTGATTAGGCCAGATCCATATATTTTAGAAGTTAATAAAAAATATAAAACTCATCTTTAAAATGGAGGTATTTTTTTAAAACATACACAAATGCATGGTAGTATAATATGTCAGGGGAAAAAAAGCCCTCTGCCACATATTTAAATTATTTTAGAATTTATTTTTATCTATAAAAGAGAATACTTAGTCTCCAGCTGCTGCCCTCCATTCTTCACATACAGCTCATATATATCCCATAATCCTTGACACCATTGTAAGGAGAAAATAATTCCAATTATTTGGTTGATTAAAATCTGCTTCTTAAATAAAAACACTAGGAAGATTCAGATCTAGAACAAGACTGACCCCTAGTGTTTTTCTTTTTTATTTCTGTTTTTTCTTTTTTTTCTCCTTAGACAAAAATGACCCTTCTTCAATCCAGGTCCTGCCTATTTGACCTCTTGTCATTTGATGGTTTGTCACCTGTCCTTACTAAATAGCTGTCATCCCTTGAGGTCCATCAGGTACTTTTTTCTTAAAGCCCAAACATATTTGGATGTCAAACCTTAAGTTCCTGCTGTCCATAGCTTGTGTTCACTTCTTTGAATGTTGTCTGTAACTCTGATATATGCTCAGAATGTTTCTCCTTAACTAACCAGCCACGCCCTTGTTTCTCGTTAATTGTGTCATTTAATGCTCACCCTAAGTTCCGTAACATTAACACAGCTCCGGGGTTTGAGCTTAGTTATCTTTCCTGTTTTTAATGAGATACTGAGATAATGAGGCTTATTACTATTCTCAAGTTAAAGGATTTCTGGGAAAGCATTGCTTCACAACAAACACTTGAAAGCTTGGGGGAAATTTCCACTAAAAAGGGATTCATACTGGAAGGAGCACAAATGGGTGTTGCATCCGTACGTGCACCTTCTCAGGCCCCTCGCAGAGGGTACAGAAGAGCAGAGTTTCAATGAACTCTCATTATTTAGACAGCGGCTGAGCTTTCTCAGCTTGCTGCCATTTCGGTTTATGAAACCGGTCTGTTCTTTCCCTGGTGCTCACGTCCAGAGAGGACTTTGGGAGAGCAGCTCCGGGCGGGTTTGTCAGGCACATTTATCTATTTTGGCCAATGTAATTCTGGAAGGCCTCGCCCGTGCCGCTCCCCCTCAGCCACAGCCAGACTGACACTACGAACGGGCTTTGGAACAGCCGCAGGGCCACCGCATGGCCCAGCCCGCCCTGAAGGGTCTGGAGCCCAAATCCCATGAGGAGCAGCTGCAGGAATTGGGGCTGTAAAGCCTGCAGGAGGTTCAGGAGGACCTCATCATTCAACCACCTGAAAGGAGGCTATAGCCAGATAGCGCTATATGAGCAGGCATCTGCTCACAGGCAGGACTGGGGAACACAGTCTTGCAAGCCACCTTAAGGTTGGACATTAGGAAGAATTTCTTCACAGAAAGGGTGATTAGGGTTGTGAAAAACGCTAATTACTTGGTTTTTAAAATTTTAAAAGTTTAATAATAATAAAATGGTTATAAAAATAGTAATATAAGAGTAATAAAGTTTATAGTCAGGACAATTATAAGACAATAAAAAGCAAAGAATTATGGATGTCTGGATGCTCTTGCACACTAAGTCACGAAAAGTATTCTTTGTGAACAAAGGAATAACTTTAAAGGCAATAGCTTGTTGCATATTCATATACTTTTCATGGTTATTTATACATTCTATTTAAAAGAAGAACTTTGTTGTATGTTAACTGTTTCCTTTAATCCCCAAGGTGTCTTTGAGTCTGAGCAAGGCTTGAAGAAATTAGTTTATTCTGATAAGAAAGCTATAATTTTTTTTTTCCTCTGGAAGATTTAGGTGCTCTTTGAAGCGAGTACCTCATTCCTAAAAAAAAAAAAAAACCCAAAAAAAAACCAACTCCCCCCACATACAGAATCTCTATTTTGATATTATGTTAGAACCTAAAACTATATTTAACACACTACTTAAGAGAATTAATACAGCATAACTTTTTAACATTACACATATAATATTCATTGTAATATTTGCGAAAAGCCAATCATAAAATATCCATTTTTCACAGGGTGAATCTTCACAGAAAGGTGAGTGGGCTGTCCAGGGGGATGGGTAAAGTCACCATCCCTGGAAGTGTTCAAGAAGTGACTGTTCTCAGTGCCATGTCTAGAGGACATGGCAGTGTTCGCTCGCAGCTTGGACGAGAAGATACCAGAGTCCCCCTGTGGCGGTAGAAGTGGCGGTAGAAATGGCGCCGCTCCCCGCGCGCTCCCGCCCGCCGGCGCCATCGCCCGCCCCGCCTCCAGCGCGCAGGCACGAGCGCGCGCCCGCCCGGCGTTCTCGCGAGATTGGGAGCCGCTCCCGCGCGGGGTTTGAAGCTGCGCGCGCGGGCGCCGCGGCCGTTGCTGGCGCGCGCGGCCGTGAGGGGTTTGGTGCCGCAAGCGCTCCCGGCCATGGTAGCCAGAAGGAAGCTGCTGCAGGTCCAGGAAGCCTTTCAGCTGGCCCAGAAGCCTCGCCAGAACCACGCGAAGCTCGTGGCGGCTCTGAAGAGCACTTATGCTCAGGTACGGCTGCCCTCGGGCGACCCGGCGCGGGGGGAGCTGAGGGCCCCAGCGGCTGCTCCGCTGGTCCCTGCGGAGGGGCAGGGGCCGCCTCCGCAGAGTTCCCCTAAAGCGAACACCAGTGTGCCTAAGGAGAGCCCGCAACGTAAAAACAAGCTAACAAACAAAACCCCCAGCCCTCCCCAAATAAACCCACTCAAATGCTGCAAAGCCAGGCCGCTGAACTATTCTGCACAGTTGTCTGCGGCGAACGCGGCGATGAGAGCTGCCCGCGGGTGTTGGTGATGCCGCGGGAAGGTGCTCGGATACTCGAGACGTGTGTGTGGCACAGGATAGAATGGATGGGGTGCTGATTGTTGTCCTGAAATCTATCGGCCGGGGGAACCCCGCGGTTATAATGTGCCTGCTGTGGAGTTACAGCAAAATACTCACTGAGGAGGGCACGACAGCGGGTGTGCCCCGCTGCTAGCTGTAGCCCTTTAAAAATTTAAATTCAATTGGAAGCTGTCAATTGTAAGCCCACTTACTTTATTTTTTCTGTGGTACAGCTTCGAAAGATGAACCGGATAGTTATCTTTTGTTGTGCTTTGATTTTTTTTTTTCCCAGTTGGATGATAAAGAAGACTTTAATGAAAAATTCATTCACTTCCTCAAGTATGCTATGATAATCTATAGGCGGGAACCAACAGTGGAACGAGTGATCAATTTTGCAGCTGGATTTGTTACTTCGTTCTATCACGTTGAGACAGAAGATGGTAGTAAGGAGGGAGAAGAAGATAATTTACTTCTGAATTATGTGTTTAAATTCCTGCTTGAGGTACAGTTAACATATATTCTTAAATGTCTAACATTTCTAACTTAGAAAATGGAAACCTTTTGCAGTGGGGAAAACTTGCTGGTACTTGACAATAATTACAAATTAGAACTTAAAAAGTGAAAGCAAAACAAAGCTAGTGTTTGACAAGTAACACCATCCCCATTCTCCCAGCACAAAAAGATACACCACATCACACACAATAATTCAACAACTGGATTTCAAAATTGGCCTTTGAGAAAAATGAATGTTCTCTTATATGGCTATCAGATATGTCACTATAGGCTTTACTATAGGTATGTTTGTAAGCGTGAAATTTTAGAAGTGTTGTGGAAATTAATTTATACTCTCCCTTTGATAACAAAAATATTAGAAGATCTATGCAACTGTGGTTGGCACATGTATTAGTCCTTTCTGCTTACTGCATTACATAGTTCCAACAGCATAAACACACAAATAGAATTACATTTTCCTAAACTATTGATTTGCCAAGGAAAGATTATGGATCAGGCCTAAGATAACTAATCATAATTGCTGATGTGGTTTTTTTTTTTCCTGCTAATGTTTTATGGAGGAAGAACAGTAAGTTGGCTAATGCACTGCAGGCTGCGTGCAGTGGTCAGTGTGCTGCTTCCTTTGTGAAGGCACTGCCAATTTTCTAGAGTTGCTGGTCTAGGCAATGGGCTGTAATTGTTTTTTAGCTCTATGGCTTTTTGAAATTAAAAATAAAATTAAATTGGAAAAGCTTTTGAAACATAGAAGTCCATATTTCATTAATTCTGTAGAATATTAGGCACTTAGATGTACACATTAGTAGCCTTATGTTGGAAATGAGAAAAGTGTGATAATAAGAATATCTTTTTTTTCTTTCCCTAAGTCTCACAATGCGAACAGCCATGCAGTTAGGTTTCGAACCTGTCAGCTTGTTAATAAGATTTTGGGAAATATGCCAGAGAATGCTGAGATTGATGATGACTTATTTGATAAAATTAATGAAGCTATGCTGATTAGACTTGAAGATAAATTTCCAAATGTGAGAATTCAAGCTGTCTTGGCCCTGTCAAGGCTTCAAGATCCTAAGGATGAAAACTGCCCTGTTGTTAATAGTAAGTAGTATTGGCCTTTCTCTTTTGTCTAATTTACCTTACTTCAAAGTATTTTAAAGCTTTTTTTTTTTTTTTTTTGAGCACTGAATATAAGGATGCTTGAGGGTATTCTTGTAATAATTTTTAAACAGTGAAATTCTTTGGTAGAGGAGATGGAAGATGCAAGTGCTATGTGTGTTCAAGGGGAAAAGACAACTGTTAGGAGAGATCTGCTTGGACAATCATCCTGAGGTCTGTGAACTGATTGTAGAAATAGGCTTGTGAAAATGTGTTGTATACTAGAGTGGAGGTATAATATGTGTTTATCCAGTTCTTGCCCTCTAAGGACCCTTTGGTACTGTTAATTGAATTCGTACAAAACTCTTAGAAGAGTAGAGATGATAGAGGAAAAACTACTGTTGTCTCAAATTATGATCGCTTTTCTAGAAGAGATCACCATCTCTGCAATGCAGAGATCTTGATGATGTTTGAGGGTTTCTTTGTGTATTGTATGATCCTTGACTAAGTTGCTACTTCCTTTGCCTCGAGGTAGACAAAGTCTAGTTTGTACCAGCAGAGTTGGTATGTAAATTGTGCCTTGATTAATCTTTACATATTGCCTTTTGTAAAGAATTACTTAATTGGGGTTTTCTGTTGATAAGGTAGCTTTGTTTAAATTTTATTTTCTACGTGTTGTTTATAGGTTACTTATTTAGGAGCACATAAATTTCATAGTAAATCATTGTCTCACAGAGCAAGATGAATTCATGTATACTCTGATTAAACTAAATTTATAGCTGCTTTGGATTTTAAATAAGGTTCAAAATATAATAAAAGAGTGTGAGGGATGTTAGGGATTTACTATAAGAGTTTTGGTAGGATTAATGGAGATTTCAGTTTTCCATTTATAGGAAAATTTGAGGATCTAAAAGATAATGAAGCTATCACAAAAGATAATGAAGAAGTACAACTAGTGAATAGAGGTCTTAAAGAGCCAATATTTTGAAATGTTTTTTTTTTTTCTGCTAATAAATGACAAAGTGGTTATTTATGGGTGGGATCTGGAGCAGCAATTTTTGGAGTTATTAACTGAAGATCTTACTTATGGTTACAAATATTATTTCTTTTGACATCATAGCTCAGCATGTAGTTACCATAAAATCTTGGAGTTGTGACCCTGAACCGTTTCGTAAATTATCAGCTCTGCAGGGGCAGGAGAGGGGTTTTGATAATAGCTGCTGATTGTATTTTCTGTTTTTCTTTGTTTCCAACTCATATGAAAGCATTATTATGACTATTTTCAGTTTACAGCACGTTGCTTGAAAATGATTCAAACCCAGATGTGAGACGTGCTGTGCTGTCATGTATCGCTCCATCAGAAAGGACTTTGCCAATAATTGTAGGCCGCACCATGGATGTAAAGGAGGCTATCAGAAAGCTGGCATATGAGGTAAATTGGATTACTGACTATTAACTGCAAAGGCTGACTTAAAAACAGACTTTAAATTTTTTATTATATTTCACTTAACACTAAGAACAGTTAAATAATTTATTTTCATTTACCAAAATTTTGAGGGGGGGGGGTGATTTAATACTAGATTTCTAGTTAGAACTGCTGAAAACTTGACTGTAGAACTTGCTTGATAGAAATTACTTGTGTGGTAGAATTTGTCTGTTGAAGATCAGGTAGTAACAGTATAAATTATGTATGCAGTCTATTGTTTTTTCTTTATGCATTTTGTGATGTTACTGAGCAAATTTGCTTTTCTGTTATTACATAGTGGATGTTAGGACCACAGTAGTAGTAAAAAATGGCATAGTTGTGGTATTGCAATTATGGGAAGTATCAACCGTTACTCATGTTTACATGCAGAGGTAAGAAAGTATGCTAACATGTCTGTTTCTTATGTAGGCATCATATGGGAGATCTTGAAATAAAATGTTCATTTTTTGCACACAGAACTGCTTATTTTATTTTAGGCTAGATTGGTTTTTTCAACTGAATCTCTGTGTCAGTAGGTTTTTTTAAGGAAAGTACCAAGTTCTGTAATTTATTGTAGGTATTCATTACCCTTCACACTTTAAAGAGAAAGGCTAGTTTTCATGTCCAGGTGTTGCATTCAAGTAGAGCTGATGAGCTTCTAAGCCATGTGTTAATTTTATTGTTTATTTTACTTTGTTTTCCTCCATGCACAAGGATCTGATAGTTAATGTGTTCGTACAGTGCTGTTGGTATAGGTATTAGAGGTTTCTATTGATTTAAGATTTATGCGGAAGTATAGTTAAAACTCAAAGTGTAAAACCATAGGTAGGTAATGGGATTGTTTGTTATCACATGTGGAAATGTGTTTTAATGTCTTAATATTTTTTTTAAGGTTTTGGCAGAAAAAGTTCACATGAGAGCTCTGACAATAGCACAGAGAGTTAAATTGTTACAACAAGGACTTAATGACAGATCTGGTAAGAGATCATGTGTTTATTAACATCTTAATACTAATGTTTAAGAGAGAATACTTTCTAATGTGTTGGGGGGACATGTGCAAAAGCTGTGATAGCAATAATAAGAAGCTTGAAGAGTATCAGGAAGTGTTTAGACACATTAAATCTGCTTGCTGCTTTGTTTTTCCAGGCCCCTTATGGTGAACAAACCAGAAAATAATTGCACTTTCAAAAAACCTGAAAGCCAATGAGCTTTAAAATAAGACCAAATACTATTAAAATTTTTTAAAAAAGGTAATTAAATACAGAATCTGAAAAATGTAATTAATTTGGTGTATTTGGAAATGTTACATTACAGATATTTTTGTAACTAATAAACTTATTAAAGAATTTAAATGTGAACATTAATATCAGTTTGAAAATATTTCCTTTGTGCTCTCAGAGAGAAATCTCAGCTGGTTATTTTCTTGTTTATCTAGCTTGAATTTTCTTTTAATGAATCTTTGACCCTTACGCATTTCACCGTGGGGCAGCTTTATTCTTTTTAATGTCTTTTGTACTGTATCACTCTATAGAAAGAGCCATTCAGAATATACCCATAATTGTGTGGGGTGTTGTCGTCAAAAGATCAAAACATCACCTGCATCTGGGCAAGACAGTTTTGCTCTGCCTACATAGAACATAGTTTTGTTTTTTTTTTTTGTTTCCCTCAACAGCAGCAATTCTATGCATGAATTTCACAATATAAGCTACTAGTTTTACTGAGTGCTGATGTGTAATCCCCCTACTTTGATTGGAAAGTTTGCACTAAGCTGAATTTTACTCTGAGAATTTCCCTTGTTGAGTGATGATATGCTGCTTGGGAATTGTGAGAATTATGATCTATGTGGATATCCACTTACAAAACAAGACTGAAGTACTGGGAACTAGATCTCCTTAAGGTGTCATGCATACATGTATTTTTATTGATCTGCTATTGTTTTTGGCTAGCTGGGGATCTTATTCTGTTCTTGACAGGAAAGGAAGAGAGAATCAGCTGAGTCCCTTTTTATGCTTTGTAGAACTACACTTAGAAAGACCACCTCCTTCTGTATAGGAAGTTTTAGTCACTTTGCATCACCTATCCTGAATTGGTCTGTAGTAGCCTAAAGAAGTTTGCTATGTTCTGTTTCTGAAGTCCAACACTAAAAAACCTGTGTTCTGAATTACTGTTTCTTATTGATACACTAGTTTTGTTTTATCTGACTAGTTGCTGCTTGTCTGCTGGCTGCCGCCACTCCCCCAATAATCCTTGGTCTTGAGAGATACTTCTTAGGGTGAATGCATTTCTCTCAGTAATCTTTCCAAACTGAGGAGGAAACTACTTTCCCTAATTTTTCATGTGATTCTTCACTTGTCAGGAGCAAATATTTGTTGTATTCCCTTAAAGAGAAAGTACAGCCTTTATATGTGGCCTGTTTCTTGGTGATATTGATGTGTTCAGCATAAAGAAGTGTCTTTTATGATCCAGGACAGATACTTTCTTAGTGTCTGTCTCTTCCTTAGGATGATTTTACATCCCAGCTATTGAGGACTTTCCTTTTCTTGACATTACAAGGGAAAACATCTGCCAGGGTATATAGTTTGACTGATATCATATGTTCTTTGAAGATAACCTATCTTCAACCTGTAAGATAGGTTGTATTCCAAATTGGCTATTTGATATTGCAAATACTGCAAATCCTGTAACCTTGAATATCTTTATTGAATTTGCTTATCTGGGTAACTCCTGAGCTAACAAGAGAGAAACCTGCTCATTCAAGGTTACCCACATTAAAATTTTGGGTGTTTTTCCATATTGGCTTCAGAACAAGGATTTATAGTTAGAAAAGGTCTAGAATACATAATCCACATTCTGCTTTGTTATGCTTTTCAGGGTGAGTTCAGCTCATTGTACTGTATTCTACTAGTTTATGCTTTTCACCTTCTTGGAGAGGCTTCTTATCCTTAGGACAGTAATTTAGCTTTTTCAAGGCCTTTTTACAGTTCATTTTGAACTCAACTATATTTAAGTGCTGTAGTTATTATCATGAGTTACATATAAGAGGAAAGATGAATGTTGTTAGTGTGTGTGGATTTCGTTTCCCTTATACTGGATATTGTTTTCTTAAAGAGCCTAAGAGTAAAATTGTTTTCCTTCCTAGTTACTATGTGTTTACCTCCATCAGACTCTTAACCTTTCAACTTCCCTGCTTAAGTCTGGGTGAATGCATTAATGATGTATACATTCTGGATGTTCCCATAAATACTTTTTTCATTATTAAAATGGTAGTCTATTGATCCAGGAACTGGATTTTTGTGGCAGTGGTGAGTAGGGAGTTAAAGTATCATATGTAAACTTCATAATCCATTCACATAATTGAAATAGCATGAGAATTCTTTATGTCCAAAAGTGGCTGATTGCTGAAACAGAGCAAGTATGTAACAATGCTTACCCAGAATATTTGGGACTGGAGCATCCCTGTTACAAAGACAGGGTGAAGGAGCTGGGCCTGTTCAGCCTTGAGAAAACTGGGAGAGGACTTCATCCATGTCTTTCAGTGTCTGAAGGGAGGGTGCCAGGAGGATGGAGCCAAGCTCTGCTCAGTGCTGCCAAGCAATAGGAAAAGATGCAATGAGCAGACACTGATGCACAGAATGTTCTATCTGAATATGAGGAAGAATTTTTGTACTGTGCAAGTGACCAAACACTGGAGCAGGTTGCCTAGAGAGGTTGTGGAGTCTCCCACACTGGAAATATTCAAAAAGTGTCTGGATGCAGCCCTGTGCCATGTGCTCTGGGATGGCCCTGCTTGTGCAGGGAAGTTGGACCAGATGACCTACTGTGGTCCCTCCCAGTCTTACCTATTCTGTGATTCTGATTTTGAATATTTCTTCTACAGGAGTTTGTGGTTTGTAGGATTTCTGAGTTGAGATGCTGTCTTTAAATGTAAGTTTTTTTGATAGAGTCTTTTTTTTTAAATTCCCTGTGAGAGGAAAAATTACATTGCCTTGAAAAAAGGGTGTTCCCTAGGTAGTTCTTGCTAAACAGGGTTTTTCTTTATTTAAGGTAATGTACAGTTAAGTTTAACTGTCTAATAACTTATTTTGCAAAAAGACTAATACAGAAAAATGTTTTGTGAAAATATGTTTAATAATTGATATTTTTTAAACTTTGTTTTAAACTGTTTGAATTCCTGTATTATTAGATGCTGTAAAGGAGGTAATGCAGAAGAAGCTACTTCAAGCCTGGTTACAATTCACTGAAGGGGATGTTTTAGAATTGCTTCATAGACTGGATATAGAAAACTGCCCAGAAGTGGCCACCCCAGTACTAAATGCTATGTTTTCATTATCTCCACTTCATGACATTGTTCAGAACTGTAAAAACCTTGATAGCAGGTATGCAGAGCATTCTTCATTTCCAAAAGATGAGTATTTTGTATGAGAACATAAAACTAAATTCCTTTTCACTTCTTAAGATACTGGCACATTTCCACTGTAAGAAAGTTATTGCACTATTATTGATGCTTTCTAAAGCTAGACAGGCCCACATCTACAGTTTTGGAGTGCAGTGCATGCAGCATCTACTGATTTCAAAACATGTCATGCTATTAACCAGAATGCAAGGCCCTTCGTATGATACTGTGCATTTCCTCCCATAATACAGAGCAAGATTTTGTTATTGCTTTTTAATCAGTGACAATTTGTCACTTAATTTTATCATCTGAGACTCCTACCACTCTTCAAAATAATTTCATTCCGATTGGTCTGACTTTTATCCTGAGCAAAATGAAGCTTGAATTCTGAAAAACTAGGCTGAGAATTTTTTAAAGTACCATATCTGTTAGACAATGACATTTTGAAAAGTAAGTCAAATTACTCATTTTGTAATGAAGCTTACATTAATTTAATTTATGGAAAACAGTAGGATTGTTTTTATATGAAGTTTCTGAGTACAGCTTGAATGATGGAGTATCAGAATAATAAATAGCTAGATTTTTAAAGTGATTTCTGTTTGTTAAATTTACTTTTAAATAAAGACCTGTCATATTTATGAGAACCTGTCAAATGAGCAGTTTTCATCTACATGTTATCTTGGGTGTTTTTGGCTGGATTTTTGTCTGTTTCGTGTGTGAGCAATCTAAGGCAAAATCAAAATTGTTGATAGTTTACAAGCAAAATGGGATTCAAGGGAGTAAAAAAGTACCGCCACAGTGATACTGTCTTCTGTTTTGAAGTAGAATTAATGCACAACTTAATGTTCTGCTTCAAAAACAAAAATTAATTGCCATACTTGGCATGAAAAATACTATAGATCTAAAAAGGAGTAGGGGTCTCATGATGGATGATCTGTGTATGATGGCAGATGATGATGAACTTACAGAGTTGCAGGGAAAAAGTTGTATTAGATTTTGCATTTGGCATACTATGATTGCTACTCCATTGTTGTCTCAAGATCTTGTATTAAGAATGGAAGAAACAATTCATAGATGCTGAAAAATATTTTAATGCAGTTTTGCATTTTTGTGGATTAATGGTGTTCAGTTTTCCAGACTTGTGCAGTGATAACAATGTTTCATAAAGTACCTGGCTGGTTGCTCTAGAAGGTCTGAAGGGTTGGGCAGAATTTTTCTGCAAACTGGTGTGAACAGCCTTGAGTTAAAATACTGTGAATGGCTTGTGGAGCTCTGTGTCCTCAAGAGCGAGGAAGTTATTTTTCTCAATCTCTAACTATTTCTGTGGGGAATACTTTTGATGGTGTTTTATTTGCATTTTTGGAAATAATATTTATTTCTTATTTTCTAAGACTTCAGTGTATTTATTGTTTTATACTCTTTTATTCATCTCTTCATATTGCTTTGTTTATTTTTGTTTAGAAAGCTGATTCCACAGGAGGATTTAACAGCTGAGAATGTGTTATATTGGAGATGTCTTTGTGAATATCTAAACTCAAAAGGCGAAGAAGGTGAAGTTTTACTAGAACAGGTGTTGCCAGAACCAGCTATATATGCAGATTATTTATTGAGGTATATTGCATTTAAAAATAAATCTCTTACTGCTAAAGTATATTTTTTTAAAATTTGAGAATATTTCTTTTATTCAAGTGTTCAGGTATCCTTCAAACCCAAAATTGTGCTTAAACAATTTTAGCTTTCCTTTTTTGAAAATATTTTTGAGAGATTTTTTAGAGCTTGCAGAAACTGTCACTTCTTCCATTATTGTAATTTGTGAGAATAAAGTAAAATTTTGCTACTGTGCCTAAGAGAAGAATTTTTGAATTGAAACTTCCTTTCTCTTTTGCCTGCTGAGGCAGACATTCTCTCTAAAAACTTATGTTTGAAGGCAGTGACAGAGCTGCAAAATGAGCCAGTTATAGAACAGTTATTTAACCGGAGGGTGCAGGAGGCTGAAAATGAATGTTTTTTTAAGGCAGTGTTTTTACTGAAGCGAAGAATGGCAATTTTTTTTATTGATGGGGTGTGTGTTTGTGTGTTTTGCTTGGGTTTGTTTTTTGTTTTGGCTTTCTTTTTTCTTTTTTTTTTTTTTTGTCTTCATGGGGTTCTTTAGTCTTAACATAAATTTTGAACAGAATTTGCTTCTGAGCATGGATAATGATGGGAAATCTTCATTGAGGTGTTGTACCTGTAAAACAGTGAATCTTCCTGAAATGATAATAAATCAGATCTGCTGAAAAATGCATTGTATTGATAGATGTTTTCAATTAAAAATATGCATATTCTTTTCTCACTGTACTGGATGTAGTATACTGTAGTGATTACAGAAGTCATTATTACACATTTCAGTGTGGAATGTGTTACCATGTTTCATAAACTTTTAATAAATGAAGCATCTGTGCTTCCTTAGTTTTGAAATGTATATCTATCTATCATTCATTTAACAGTCCATGAAACATTTATTTTCCAAAAAAAACTGTTCTTCAAGAGAACATTTGTTCTGTTTTCATCCAATCTTGCTCAAAGTGCCTTCAGTTACATTACTCTTTAGGGTGAGGCTAAAATTAATCAGTTTACTAGTAATTGTTTATGGTATCAACTGTTAAAACCCTCACTATTGAGCTGTTGTTTCAGGTAAGATTTTCACTCAATCTTCTGGTGTACAGTGTAAAGTTGTGCAGTGCACTGTGAGGGTGTTTGTTAGGAGAAGCAGGAACATGCAAGTCATTTCATTGGGTCTTCAGAAAAAAGCTGGATTGTGAGCTGCATTTCCATATTCACTGTTACCTGGTGCAGGTGACATTATTATTAAATGATCAGAAACAATTTTTATTTCAGATCTTCTTAAATAGTAGTTACATGCAAAGTTTTTTTTGTCCTAAATTTGAAGACATTGTAAAAATTTGCTAAAAATAACAAGCTGTCAATGAAAAGTATCTACAAAGCTGAGGTAGGAAAAAAGCATCTTTTTTACAGTTCCTGTCAATATTTGAATTGTATTTTGTGATATTGAATTTTGTACATGATGTTTCACTCCAGATTTTCTGAACATGCATAACTCTTACTGATAGAAAAAATTTTGATAAAAAAACAAAGAAATGGAACAAACTGATCACACTTTCCATGCTGAAATGTATCTGATGAATGTATGTATGACTGAATGTATCTGATAACAGGTTCTTATTCTGTGATGACATGTTTAATCAGATTAAGAAGTCACAGTACATTTCCATGATTGTTATTAAGATGTTACCTTTATGCGTTTTTACAGAACTGAAATCACATGTAACATTACTTGACAGTTTGTTTCTTATGTATTACATTCACAAATGGGATTTTTTAAAAATGAAGTGCATTATTTTGAAACTGTACATTATTTGGTATAAATAACTTCGTGAGAAATATATATGAAAAAACACTATCATAAATGTTTAGGGTTTGTAGCTAACATAACCATTTGTTTATATAGGAGAAGAAAGTGGTGTGGTTTTTTATTGGGGTGGGGCAGGTGTTGATAGTTGGATTTCTTTGGAGTGTATTTATTTATTTACTTATTTATTACTGTCCAACAGTGAATCTGAATGTAATTATATCTGTTCTGTTTGGGTTCAGTTATCTTCAAAATATGCCAGTTCTCAGTGAAGAGCAAAAAGAAGATTTTAATTGTTTTGAAAACCTGATGACAAAAGAATTCATAGGCCAGCAACTGATTCTAATCATAGGCTGCATGGATACCATGGAAGAGGGAGGAAGGTAAACTTAAATATCAAATTTGTGTTACTAAGCTTAAGACACTCAAGCCTGAGGACAGGTATAGAACCTCTGCTTGGAAAATAATCTGATCAAACAGACAAAATACAGTTCTAATGCTAGCTGGAATAGGAAGCAGTCTCCTTAGTGGAATTGGTCCCAGCGTTGTGCCAAATATTGTCTGCTTACTTTTATGGAATAGTAAGTTCTAATTTAGAAGTTTGTTAGGGGAAACAAATTCAGTTGTTTCCATAAACTATTACTGAGATTATGAAATTACAGAACTGCTCATTTGGAGCATAGTATGTAAAAAATAAAGGGAGAAAAACATACTGCTTCACAACAGATGACTTGTAGCATGCCTGTTTGTTTCTTGTATTTTTAAGCTATAATCTGCCAAGGTCTAAAAGGCTACAAATATCTTAGATGCCAGGCTAAATTGTGTTAACTGAGTCATTGTTACAACTTGAACAGCCTTTTGGTGTGAAGTATGAAGAGCGAATGAATTTGAAAATTCATACATACCATCTCAGACATTTTGTGAAAACTTGCAGTTATGGTAGTATAAACACAGCAGTAACTTCAAACTCTCAGTGGAATGTGTAAATGTGTGCCAGACTGGCAGGATAGTTTAAATTGTATTTTCTTTTTCTTTTTTTTCTTTTTCTTTTTCTCTTTTTCTTTTTCTTTTTCTTTTTCTTTTTCTTTTTCTTTTTCTTTTTCTTTTTCTTTTTCTTTTTCTTTTTCTATTTCTTTTTCTTTTTCTTTTTCTTTTTCTTTTTCTTTTTCTTTTTCTTTTTCTTTTTCTTTTTCTTTTTTTTCAGTTTACTGTCAATTAATTTCCCTGAAAGCATTCTGCAGTATTGATACTGACTGTTTCTGCTGGTATGACTTTGGACAGTAGGGACATATGATTAAAAAATTCAGCATTTTGTTATCAAGGGAAATCAGGTAAAAATCAGTAAAAGACAAACATTGCTAAGTAAGAAGATACATTTGGCAGCTAATGTAGCTATGGAGAAAAGTTTCATACTGTATTATGAAGTCTTCATCACAATATCTCCAAGTTGGTAGGATAGTAACTCTTATGTCTTCCATTTTCTTGAATAAGCAAACATTGTTTGTTTTTTTTCCTCTAATCCAGAAAGCATCTGCTAGTTGTTTTACAAAAGATTCTCATTTTACCTTCAACTTCAGCAGTACTTATCCCTCTGCTTGTTGAAAGATTGCTCAGTATTGTTAACGATGAGAACAGAAGGATTCAAATTGTAAGTAATTGTAAAAGCTTGTTTTCTAGTCTCTGTCTTCCCCATAAATCAAACAGCCTTTATGAAGCGTTGTAAAAGAAATATCAGTATTTAAATATTGTCTCCTTCCCCCTTGGTTTTTTTTTTGGATTGGTGGTGTGGTTTTTTGTTTGTTTTGTTTTGTTGGGGTTTTTTGTTTTGTTGGTTTTTTTGGGGGGGTGGAGGGGTTTGCTGCTGTTGTTTATTGTTATTTTGGCGTTAATCATAGCTGCATTTTGTGGTTTTCTAGAGACCTTTATGTTTAAAGATGTGACTGGTGTTGTAAATGCAGTCCTCAGACTAGGAAAGTGTTACACTTTTACACTTCAGTAGCCTGTTCCAGAATACTTTATCGTATTAGATGCAAGGTCGTTTGACAAAAACATCCAAAGTGAGGATGATGTCAGTTTCCAGGTTTCAGATTTCTCTTCCCTCCTGTTAACTCAGATAGGAACTTAAGCTCTTCTTGTTAGCTTATGCAGCTGGATGGGAGAAAATGGGATTGAAATGTGCTCATGGTAACATTATGTGTTGTCAAAATGAGGATTATTTACAGGGAATGAGCTGCTAAGAGAAACTGCATGGATGTGGAATGCTTTCTCAGAAAGATAATTTAAATTTGGAAAAGTTAAATGCTTAGTATATACCTGAACTGCAGTTAATGGCACTAATACATTTTTTGTAACAATAGATTGCAGAAATTATCTCAGAAGTTCGTGAGCCAATTGTTACAATTGACCAGCCTATTGATGCTGCTGAAATAAGAAAGCAGAAGCTGAAGGTGAGCAGATTTTAGTTAATAAGGAAAACATTTTTAAGTTTAATCATCCAGAGTTTTATATAGTAGGTTAATATTGGCTAGTGTCAATAGGGTATCACTGGTTAATACCCCACAGATTACTATGTTAACTTTCTTTTTACTTTGTATTTCAGCTGGCTGAAATAAAAGTGAAACTTTTTGAAGCAAAACAAGCTTTGGAAGAATGCATTACTCTTCAGGATTTTAATACAGCATCAGTATTAAAAGACAAAATAACTGAGTTGGAACACACAAAAAATGAACTGATAAAAACCACAGAGCAAACTGAAATTGAAGAAATGCGTGTGGAGAAGGTATCTTCCCTTCCTGTATTCCTAAGTGCTGGTTATGTTTTAAAATTTATTCTTAATTTTAAAAGAAAGTGTAGCTTGGCCTTGCCTCAAATACATTTTAAAAATGGTATTAGTAGTCTTTGTCTGCAATTATAGCAGTCAATAGTATGCTCTAGCAAAAGATAAATTGTATAGAAGCTGATGGTATGCTCTAGAAAAAACAAACAGCTGTCTTGTTGTTATTCTTTTTACTTTTAACTAACTGAAAACATAAAAAAGGAATTTATTTTGATCATAGCTTATAGGCAGATGATGATTAATATTCTTGCATAACAAATGTGTAGTGGACAGGAGAAGTTTATTTGGGTAGGGACAAATTATGATTAATGGCCCCATTCTTATCATAGCCATCATTTGTATTAATAATGTTTGTCTCTTTTCCAACTGGAAGAATGATCCTGAAACACTGTTGAAGTGTCTGATGATGTGCTATGAGGTTCTGAAGATCATGTCTCTTTCTAAAGGAATCAGTCCAACCATTAATGAAATCATTCAATCTCTGGTATGTAGGAATACAAAGTAACTTTAACTGTTAGTAAATGCACACATATTAAATGATGCCATTGCATTGTTCATACTGTATCTAGTCTGTTTTTTCTTTTGTGTGGATTTTTACAATTGTCTTCTCAAAACCATTTCAAGTACATTAAAGTTGGATCTGTATTTCATACCTTGGAACTGGGTATTGTTTCTCTGCAAGAATGTTAATGTCTTTTATGAAGAAAGGTGTAGGCTTGCTGTTGTGTGTTGGTTTTTTTGTTTCCCAGATGATCAACTCCATTTTGTTTGAAAACAGGTATTCATTAAAAACACAAAGAAAAATGCTCATTATTTTGTTGCTGATTTCAAACAACATACTCAATCTGCTTCTGTTTATATCTAGATAAATTTGGTAGGTGCCATTTTCCAATCCTGTATCAAAATAAATTATTTTAATTTCAGGGTAAGCATATTTTTGTAGTCAGACTTTTATTTTCAGTTTATGTATTTTGTCTTATAAAGTTTAATATTATTGTTTTCAGATACTTCCAGGTGTAACTAATGTCCACCCAGCTGTGAGAAATATGGCAGTTCTGTGTTTGGGTTGCTGTACCCTTCAGGACAAAAAATTTGCCCAACAGCAGTTTCCATTGCTGTTACAGGTAAATATCTGATGAGAAATGAAATTATGGTCTTTATGACTTAGCAAATAAATCTAGTCTTGTATCTATAACAATCTATCATACATAGTAATGTTCTTTGAGAACCAGTAATTCCTGACTTCCTGAAGATCTGGAGAGTGTGGTTTCCTGTAGATTTTTCTGTTGTCTAATAAGATTCAGTTTATTTTGGTAGTAGCGTGTTTTACCTTTGTAAGGTCACCTGTTGTCTTAAAATTTTCTAGGAGTTCCTTATCTTTAAGGTCTCGCTTTCTTTTCCAAATCTGGGTGAAATCTGTCATGTATTTGTTACTCAATACAGGAAAGAGAAGCTGTAGAATTCTCTAAGCCTTCCTTGGGAAACCAAACTGAAAATGTGTCTGATGGTTTTCACATTTCTGTTGCATACTTCCATGTGATATTCGGTGTCTGATTTAAATTCTGAATAATTAATATGTTTATATTAAAGATTATGGAAGAATTGTTAACTAGAGTATAAAGCAATATTCAAACCAACAAATAATAGCATGGCCAAAAATCTGTGGATATGGAGCATGTTGGATGCTGTAATATCCACAGTTCCTATCCTTGTGGTGATTGTTCTGATACCAAGGTAATTATATCAAATATGACACTTGTTGACTCTGGCTTTGAGGGAAGAGTGGGTGGCCACTGTGCTCTTCTAAGAGTGTGTTCAGGCAGACACTGGAGAAATGACAGCAAGAGTTGAACTGATACGCTTGGCTCAGACAAGATAGTAGAGTTGTCAGTCACAGTAGGAGAACTTCGTGTTCCTAAAAAAGTAACATTTTGTTACATTGTTTTTAACTTGCCTTTCAGTATGTTACATAAAAAAAAAAAAATTCTTTCTAGAGGATTTCAGTTACTTTAGTAATTTAACTTTTTGAGTTAAGCAATCTTTCTGCAGGTACTAAATCCCACAATCTCTATGTAGGCTACTAGCAGAAGCAGGGTGTTGGGCTCAACAGATGTAGAATCTCTGGGCTAACTCATGATGCATGGTTTTACTTGCATCTTATTTCCATGATAATGCATACAGTAACCTATGTAACTTTGACTTTTATTACTCTCTTGGTCCCTGTTGTCTTTCTACATACTGTGATTTTAATTGAACTGTACTTTATTTAGCTATATTTTTGTAATGCCTAACACTCTGCAGCTGCCACAGGCAAATAGACTATGTTTGTCCAGTGTCTATTTATGGGTTGAACAATAAGAATTACATCCCATTCATGGATGTTCACTCCATAAGTGAAATTAATTTGATTTTATGTAGTGCAAATTGCATAGTTGACTTGATAAATTATATCCCAGATGGTATTATAAATTCAGGTTTAAATTTGTATCACACCTTCCTAAAGTTTGCAAATTGGTTCAAGTATTATAAAAAATTTCCCAAAATGATCAATCTTATTAAAAGAAAAATCTTACTATGCTTAATCTCAAGATTTGTGGTCTACTGGAAGATGATATATTTATTTTCCATATTAAACCTAGGTTATACAAATAGATAAAATAAAGATAAAGCTCAGTGCTTTAAAGGCAATCTTTGATCAACTAATCCTGTTTGGAATTGAGCCTTTTAAAACCAGAAGAGGCAATGACTCTCAAAGTGAAAGTGCACACATTAGAACAGAAAATGGTGAGGATGAAAGTGAAACAGTAAAGGAAGAAGAGGAGACTGCCACAGTTCACAGCCTTCTGAAGCTTCTTTCTGGTTTCTTAGACAGCGAGGTAAGAAATATTATAAAATTTGCCTTAGTTTTGTTTTGAAATTATTTTTGCAGATGGCTTATCATCTCATTAAGTTGCCTGGGAATAGTATGTGATATGAATTGAAATTAATGGTCTAATATTCAAATACCTGTCCTAGAAAATGACAAGTTTGTCACTGGTGCAAGCTAAGATTACCCGTGAGCAGTTTTGCATTCTATTTGCAGGTGGAAATACGTGAATGTAGAGAAGTGATTGCTAATGTAGGATATAGGCTATTACAGTAAAGTATTAGTGAAAAACATTATGGTTGGTGTATCGTGTATATGATGAGCTCTTTCTTCAGTATTCAGAACTTCGGACAGAAGCTGCAGAAGGCATTGCCAAACTAATGTTCTCTGGGAAGCTAATCAGTGCCAAGCTCCTTTCTCGTCTTGTTTTGCTGTGGTATAATCCCATGACTGAAGAAGATGCTCGGCTCCGACACTGTCTGGGAGTTTTCTTCCCTTTATTTGCTTATGCAAATAGGTAATGCTTTTTTTAATTTGTTATATGACAATATACATTCATCTGGCAGCTTTAGGAACCTTTTCTTAGTCTTGCTCTATTGCAAATGGCACAAATGCAAATTAGATTTAGACATCTAATTCAGCCTTGTATGCCTATTGCTTTTGAAAGTACATAATCTCAACCTGTGACCATTCTGAAGACTTTCCATTAATTCCCTGTTACCCCTGTGGCTTCCCTTATTTTTTTTTTTTTTTTTTCCTAAGCCTACAATTGAAACTCTTCTCAAAGAGATTGAATAAAATTAATTTAAAAATATGTGCTTTACTTATTTATGTTGAGCACTACAGGTAGGCTTTGAAGTGTCACTAAGAAGTAGCTAGCAGGAATGCTTCAAAAGAAAATAATCAGTGCCCAGCACTTGTCAAAGCAGCAGGCTGCTGGGTTGTGGTTTGGGGTTTGTTTTTGAACCAAGGAGTACTCCAATTTAAATTCATAGCATATTCAAATCTCCTGTTTATTTTGGTGGTGGACTGAAGAGGTCGAGAGCTTATGGAAGGGAATAAGAGCTTAAATAGCAATTCTCATCTCCTTTTACCTGCTGCTGAAAGCTTTTTAGTAGCTGCTAGTGGTTTTACCAAGTTAGAACAACTAAGTATTTATCTGCTTTTGTATAGTAAAGTTTTCTTTTAGGTGTATTATGTTACCTTATCTATTTTTCAAACCAAATTGAATTAAATTTTTGTGGCCTATATGTTGCCACATTAAGAGGAGTAGTACAAAGGGGAGTTGTCTTGAAGAGGAAAACGTCCCTAAGAAATGTGATATTTGCTGTTGTCAGAAAAAAGCCAAAGAAAAATACCCAGTGTCCTATAGAATGGGGGTTTCCCTACTCAAATTCTTATGAAAGTAACAGAAAAATTGATTTAATATGTTTCCAATATCTCTGATAATGAGTAATGAATTTAAGCTTTTAACATTGATAATATTTTACTAGTGAATGTAATTTACAAGGAATAGTCTGAATGATACTTCAGTAATGCTTGAGCCAGTATAAAGCCTTAAAGCTGCTGAAAGGGAGAGTTCTTGCTTTGGTTCTTTTGTAGCCAATTGTAGTGCTCAAAAGGGTTTTTTGGCAGCTGGTTTGGCTCCATAATCCAGCAGCAAATAATATGCTTTTTTAAAAATTACTTGCTTTCTTGGTTTTCTCCTGTAGTTATTTGGGTTCAAATTGGAAGTTAATATAAATATCAGCAAGAGTAAAGGCTTCATTTCAACTGTACCTTGTACTTTTTGACATCTTACTTGTTAAATAGTTTTGACAAGTCTTGTGGAGCCACACTTTTAGACAACTTGCACAACCAAGTGAAATATGATTTTTAGGCTTGCTTGGCAGGAGTTATGAACTCTTCTGAGAAAAAAATCACCAGTATTTCTTCCAAAAATCCTGTTAACCACTGTGTACTTTTTTTACCAGGTGTCCTTGCTTTCTTACACAATGAGAAGTGCCCCCAAAGAAAAATGTTAGCAGAATGGAGGAATGAGCAGAAAACAAGATTAATCTATGAAAATGAATTAGAGAAATGTATTTATGGAATTTTTTTGTCTTGTCCTTCAAGACAGAACATGTCTGTATATATCAGTTGAGTTTTCAGTAGTAACGATGAATGTTCAAATTCTTCAGAGGAAGGAGGTGTTACTTAAAACTTGCTTGAAATACCATGTGCTAAAAGTTTGAATTGGTACTATGAAGCGGTTTTAATGTCTTCATCTTTCTGGCTGTTGCTTCCAAGTTTAGCTGCTCTCAATTTGCTTTGATTGATGTACCAGGTCAGTGAACTTTCATCATGGAAGAGAAAACTTAATTTTGTCTTATTTTGCTACTAATATTTGACTTCATTGAAACAGGTCTAACCAGGAGTGCTTTGAAGAAGCTTATTTTCTAACTCTGCAAACACTCTTAAATGCTCCTGCAACATCACCTTTGGCTGAAATAGATATCAGTAATGTTTCTGAACTGTTAGTGGACCTGACGAGACCAAGTGGACTGAAACTTCAGTCCAAGAAGTTTCAGGACTATCAGGTACAATGAGTTAAAGTGTAGGAAAGTAGTACTTGTGTCAGATTAAGAACTACTCCCCCTTAGTTTACTGTTACCTGTCAGGGCCTCTCTGGGTTTCCAGGTGTCAGCAGTTGGATTAAATGAGTGCCTGTTCAGGTAATGAAGTCTTTTAGCTTGACACTTTCCTCCCCCTTTTCCTTCCCTTTTCTTCCCTGCCCTATCCCAAATTTCCCCTCCGTCTTATAATTAAAAAATGCTAGTAGGAACTTTCATGTGGCTAATTGTTTATATTGTGAAAGATACTTATAAAAATCAGTTGGTGAATCTACTGGAAGTAGTGCATTTTAGGAAGATGTTTGCTGTGTAAAATCAGCCAACTGTTTAAATCAGATTGTTCTCACTGCTCTTTGTAAATAGTCTTTGGTAAATAGTTCCCAGCAAAATTACTAATACCTAATTTCTTTCCTTTGCAGGAGTTAACAGTGCATGATACTTTAGCCATGAAAATTTGCAATGAAATCCTGGCAGATCCAACTGCACCAGATGTCCGTATTTATGCAAAAGCTTTAAATTGTCTAGAACTTAGTAGTTCTTCTACAGATAATCTTCTAGTGTTGCTCAATGAGATTCAAGAGGTAGTACACAAATAGCATCGTTCTTAGTTTTTTAATCATTAATAGTCTAATGTTCTGATACCCTTAAAAATTGACCTTTTGTTTGCTACGACCATATGACTGGACTTTATCTCCTAACCAGTTTTGAAAACTAATTTTTGAATAATTTACAATATCTGAGCTGATATCACTGCATAAACCACAGACAGTATAAGCAGCTCGAAAAAGTGTGCCCGACTTGATACATTTGCAGTACAGCAAGTTCTTTTGATAACTGTGGTGTAGTTATTGTTTTTAAGTTAAAATAAAATTCAGTATTGAGTCTTGCAGTTTTGCAGCTTATCTTCAGTTAATTATTAACAGCTGAAATTTTACAGCTAAAGTTATGCTATAATAGGAAGATCATTAGGCAGCATCACAAGGATGCTTGATTTAAGATGAAGTAGGAGAGGATTACAAGGATTTGCTGCTTTTATTAATATGGAAAAAAATTGAAATTTGGAAGTGTGGCACATATAGAACACAATAGTATATAGAAATGTTGGTAAGAATGCTGAATCCATGATGGGATATCATCTAGTGGTAGCTGTACGCTATGTCCAGTTGCTTTAATTTTTTTCAGGCTTTCTTTTAAAAACATTCAGGTTTTCTTTAAAAAAAAAATATTGAAAAGGTATTTTAGTGCCTTGTATTGATGGAGAGTTTTTCTCCTTTTAGCTTGACTGGTCACTTTCATATCACACATTGTATCCTTTGTGCAGTAATTTCACCTAATCCTATTAGTAGGCAAAATTTATAGATAAAATAAATAGCTGTAAATTTAAGTAGCATTTAACATTAAATGTGTGCTCTCCAGAAAGTGGAAGATAAATCATGTCAAAGAGCTATTGAGAAGATCCAAATGAAACTGAGCAAGGATCCTAATGTGGGCAAAAACCACTCTGCAAGAACTGAGGAAACTGGTCTCTCTGAAAGGACACAGGAAAGAGACATCACATTGTCTGAAAATGCTGCTCCCAATGAAGAAGGTAATTCAGGAGGGGTGTAGTACAGTAGCATGTGTACAATTCAATGAATTGTTCAGATGCAAATAAGAAGTAATAGGACTCGGGAGGCACCTCCAGCTCCCTCAGCTACTCCCCATATCCCTCATGCTCCAGACCCTTCCTCAGCTCCACTGCCCTCCTCCAGACTCACTGCAGCACCTCAATGTCCTCCTTGCAGTGGGGGGCCCAGAACTGACTGTGGGATTTGAGGTGTGGCCTCATCAGTGCTGCGTACAGGGGAATGGTCACTGCCCTGGACCTGCTGGCCACGAAGTCTCTGGTGCCAGCCAGGATGTCACTGCTGGCTCATGCTCAGCTTACAGACATTCAGCTGTTGGAGCTGGTCCCTTACAATATCAGTGTCCTCAAATGGAAAATCACCGTTCCCATGCTCATGGTCTTCTGATTCAGGGGACTGGGCAGCCTGAGGTGCATCAGTAATATTAAAGAATCCAGCAAATAAAGCACTGAATTGCTTGCTTTTTTCTTTAGTCCTGTTAGTCAGGTGACTGACCATCTTCAGCAAGTGTTCATCCAGTGTTTTGTTTGGATTTTCTCCTGCTTTTACTTCAAAAGTCCTTCTTTATCACAAAACACTGACCAGTTTCAACAGTAATTGAACTTTGGCCTTTGGTGCCTTCTCCCAACATGTATGAACCTCAGCTCTGCCATCTTCCTGCAAAGCCTGACCTTGCTGTCAGAGATCCTGCAGTTCCTTTTTTCTCTTGTGCTCCACAAGGAGGTCTCTATTCAGACAAGCTGATCTTCTGTCCCACTCACTACAGGCTTGCACAGCCACAGCCATTGACAGTAATGTACTGTGTTTCTGGGAGAAGTAAAAAATTGTGGGGTTTTTGTTGTTGGTTTTTTGTGACCACATTCTATCACTGCTGACTGCATATTTCTGTTTCAATGCAATATCAAACACTGAGGAAAAGTAGATACAAAATTAGTTTAAGAAAATAAATGGTATCAAGATACGAAAAAAGACTTTTGCTTATACTTAGGACAGCAGAAAGCGTCAGAAGTGAGGACCGTGAGCAGAAGAAAAACTGGTGCAAGTGCAAAACATGGTCTTGAAAGGTAAATCCTTATCTCCCCACCATCAAAACTATGATGTCTGTTCTAGCAAGGAAATTAAAATGTTTTTGTCTCAAACATGTATGTTTTGATAACCCTCTGTTCTGAAAACACTGACAAATATTTAAGGAAAAAGATTTCTTCAAACTGACACTTTTGAAATAGTGGCAGGTTCTGCCAAGAAGGCTGTATATTTGTTTAACATAAGTTTTGAGTGTTGAGTCAACAGTTATTCTAGCTGAAAAAATTCAGGTTTTTGGTTTACATTATTGCTCTTCCTCCAATTAGTTTTTTCTGGCTTTCTTAATCTGTTCTGTGGAAGTATAAGTTTTTAAAATTTAAATTCTTTCCCCCACTCATCACAGTCTTGTTGCTTGTTGTCCAACATGTAGTTGGCAAGCATCTAGAAATGACTGAGAAGTGACTATAGACAATGGATTTCTTCCCTTATGATCTTGCAAGATATAAGCATTAAAACATTACTTTTCAGCTGTGTTCAACTCTTTCTTAAGCAAGCAATCCACTTTATTGTGACCAGGGTCAGTCTCTCCCATTTGACTGTTTGGTGTGTTTGCTTTGATTCCATCTAATTTTGGGGGAATTTGATTCCATCTAATTTTGCTTATTTTGCAACTCCTTATCACTTGGTTATCTTTACTGATACTGCTATATCACTTGAAAACACCAGTATATTCTCCAGAAAGAAAAAGTGTTTAATTGTTTAGAAGTATTTTTGCTCTTTAAGACCATTTTTGAAGTTTGTTCTATAAAAGCTCTACAGTTTTCTTAGACTTTTTTACCTAACTCTTAAACAATCTATGTTTCAGTTGTGATAGAATTTCAGAACCAGTCCCAGTGTCAAGTTCAAGGCCTCAAAGACGAGCAAAAACTTTGGCACTGGAGAAAACCCGAATGAATCTTTCAAAACTGTTGAATGAGGAAACAGATGAGTGAAGACAAGAGAAGAAAGTGCCTTTGTCAGCACTGGTAGTTAACATCAGGCTTGAACATAAGGTTTTTTTATTGCTAGTCATATTTACTCCTTTCATATGAATAATTTATAATTCTACATTTTTATATTAGGTTTTTTTTTTTAATAGATGCTTGTATTTCTTGTATTTCCTGTAATAAAAATGGATTAAAATATTACCTGAACGAAACTTGCATGTTTTTTCTTTTACTTTATAGAAAAGAATGTATCTTACCTGCAAGAAAAAATTGCTGTTGTTGCTAAGTATTCCATAGTTAAAGCAGTTTTGATACTTACCAGTAGCAGAGAGTGGTTGCTTGTGATGGCAGCAATTTTGAATGTACTTTTATGGCACCTGCTTTCTTCATTTTTATAAGGTTTTATAACAGTAAAACCTGGTCAGCAGATGCATGTATTTACTATGCATGTTAATGTAAAATAGAGTTGGCTTTAATTGGGAATTCTGCTTCCTGCAGGTGTGTGCCCAATTTATTAAACAATGTCAAACTTGTACAACTGAGTAACTGATATCACATACCATACTGAAAATCTACTGATGCTGACCTTGTTATATAGAATCAGGGATGTGCTTTTAGAAAAGCATAAAAATATTTGTGGTACAAAATAAGATCTGGTAAGGAAAGGCATATTTAAGTACAGAAGGGACAAAAAATGAAATCTTCTAAGGTCAGTGTTGTGTGTTTTTAAAGTAGTATCCAGTTGTTATTTCTTTGCAGCTCTGAAGTTCTAAACACATAGGAATGGTGAGGAGTTGCAGAGGACAGTGCATGAAGCCGTGCTCACTCAGCAGTGACTGGGGCTGAGCACTTGCATTGGAAACGCCGCGGCAGCCACGTCTGCGTCACAGTGGGGTCATTTCGGAGCCGGGGCAGCAAACTCCATTCCTTGACATGCACGTCTCAGCTACTGATGGCAAATGCAGCTTTCTAAGAAACTTGTATTTTAAACTGGTAAATATGCTATAAATGATCTTTGGTAATTCTCAGAAATTACTTAGGGACACGTGAAATTTAGTTTTCCTAAAGTGTAATGCTCAGACTTGATATTATGCTGTATCCAAGCTTGCATATAAGAAACAGAGGGATTGTGCTGCTTTTTATACTTTGCAGTTTTTCTTGGAACTTGTCAAAATGCAGAATGCCAAAACACACTTTTCTGCTGATATTTGCTTATTTAGAAGCTTCTGTAACTGTGGTGAATTAATTTTTTAATTTTAAACATAATTTTGAGGTTCTGATCTCCCTTTTTAGGTAACTTTTTAAATCCCCAAATAGTATTGTAGTATGAGTTTGTGTACAGGCAGCCACTTCAGATCAGAGATGCTCTCTGTCCCCTTGAATGCTGCCTGAACATAGTTGAAATGGCAAAGACTTGAAAACATCTATATCCTTTGAAAGGGCAAAGGATATAGATGTTTTTCTCAGTTACAAGAACTTCCTTGGGGTATTTAGTGTTGGGGGTTTTTAAATTTAAATTCTCTCTTCTCCCTCTTGAGTGGTTTGTTCTTTAAGCACTACTACACTTTCAGCATCTGGCACTAGTCCACTCTTATTTTTTCTTAAAATGACTTTTGAGGCAAAGCAGGAACAATAAAAATCCATAAAAGCCTCTGGGCATGCCTTCTTGAATGAGACTAGTTTTGCTTTCTTGCTGTTCTGTTGTGTCTTGTCACATACACAGGTTCTGTCTCTGGCATCTCTTGGGAATGCTGGACTGAAAAGATGAGGTTTCCCTCAAGTCACCTCCCAGTCTGTGCCTCTGCTGTGGATGTGGCTTCACTGATGTGTGTTTACAGAATAGACTTTGTCTAACTGGAGGCCCGTGGGGCTGGGGTTCTGCCCAGTGGGAGAGGCTGAGGAAGCTGGGCTTGTTGAGCCTGTGAATATTGGGATGATCCCCAGTTATCTGCAAAGAGTCCAGTAAAAAGATAAAATTGGGCTCTTGGTTGTGTATGATGAGAGGATAAAAAAACAATGGGTATAAATTGAAACTCGGATCAGAAAAGGTGAAAAAGGCAGTGGAACAGGTTAAAAATTGCTGGAACAGGTTGGCTGTGCAGGTTACAGGACTAGGTGTAAAACTGTGGACCTTACTGATGTCCTTTTATGCCAGACTTACCCTGTGATCCTTTCAGGCCAGAAACTTGAGCACCAATTGGCACTGAATTTCCAGTCCCTCTGGGAAAATTGCCTGCCCAATTCCCTGTGAAGGGAAGGGTTTTCTGTGTAATACAAATTTTGATGTGTTCTTGTAAAATTACCTTTTGAGAAGGGGTGGCTGCAGAATTGCAGGGTGGGACAATCAGATGTATGCTGTCTCTCAAAGTTCACTATTACTGATGATCAAGGTTTCAATGTATGCAGCTGACCTCCTGAGAAAGGCACATGGTAGCAAGAATACATCCAAAGGTGACAAGGAACCAAACTTGGAATTGTCATCCTTGCAGTGAAAAGCATCCATTCTTGGTATGCATTACTCCTAGCTAAAATAATGCTGTTTTTTACTTTAATTCTATGTGTTTAAAGTACCTAACTTCCCAGCTTCTTAATTAAGGAATAAAATTTTATTCCTTAAATATTTTAATTTATTTAAAAACGGCCTCTTTGTTGCTCTGGACCAATTACTGTGTGTCCTTTCTCTTTGCTGGCTAAACACAACAGTGTCAATCATGAACTAGACCTAGACTTTATCACCTGTTAAATAACAGTAAAATAGCAGTGATCACTCATCAAACTTAGATCCCATATTTATTCCCACACTAGTTTTTCTTTCTTTAAGCTAATGTTGTGATTCTTGTTTGCTTGTGTATTCAGTCTCTTCAGCCTATGCACTAAAGCAGCTTCTCTTGAGAACAAGCCTTTGGCTGGCTGCTCTCCAGGCTGAAGGCCAGCAGGGGCTGGTGAGCTTGGGTTGTGCCTGAAAACTTTCGAGTGAGCAGCCAACTAAAACTCAAAGGAATAATAATAATAATTTGTTAACAAAAACCAGGCTTCTGCTTGGAGCTGAGGGAGACATGTCCAAACCAGCGAGGTGGTGGTATTTTACTGGGTCTTTGAAATCAGAAAAATCCATGTGGCATCTCCCCCCACGGGCACACACACACAGTTCCAGCTGTGTTGGCTCCAGTGCTTTTAAGACTCCTATGTCTTGCCTGCCTCCTTTCTGATCCTTGTGCTTTGGTGGGGCTCCACTGAAGTCAACTTCAGTTCCTTTCCCCTGGGAAGTTTAGTTCTCCTTTTGGCCTTCTTGCCTCACAGGATCCATGTGCATGTAATAACATTTGAGATACATAAAGACCTTCTAAACAGTTTGAAACATAATGTATGTTTATTTTTAAAATCACATTCTTTTAATCATGTCCAATGCTTCAGTGGCCAAATACCATCTTGGGATCTTGTGCCACCAGAATGCAGAACAATCTCTATTTCAGTTACTGGATTGCACCTGCAAACCAACAAAGCTCTGTAAAGAGGAAATGCATCTTCATTTTTGTAAGGTGAATCCTTAAAACCTTTGTTTTATAAAATACAGTGTCTTCCAAGGAAATTTCCTTCTGGAAAATTAGTTCTTGTCAAGTAAAGGACAGACAACTCATCATGAATTAAGAAACCTCTACTCTAGCTACTGAATGTATGACTCCAGAAAAGAGAAGTATATTATATGGTTTTATTCTAACACTTTTTTTTATAGCTGTATTAATAATAAAGTTTTGATGAACGAAGTACATGAACCTTGCTAAGATCATTTAAGCATGGAATGTCTACAATGTAGTCAGCTACAACCATTTACTACTTCTTTGAGTAGAGATAAAATTTTGATTTTACATTGAGTTTCCAAAGTACACGGAAAAAATGAAATAGGAAGAGCATTTACATCCATTTTAATTGGTGTCAGGCATAAATTCATAAAAACAAATGGGGGAGAAAGACCATTTAGCAGAAACCTCAAAAAGTGCAGATACAGATTTGTTGAATGACAATCTTTCATGAGATTCTCCAGCAGGCTTGGTCTTTCTTTCAGACATTAGGGTCATTAAACACTGTCACACAGAAGTTCTCAAGGTAAGTGAAGATGAAAGCATACTGCAGAAACAAACTGGTGCTTCCATACATTTCAATCTGTTGGTGAAGGAGATCTCCTCAGGTAATTTACCTTTGTACTGCTTTGTTTCGAGGTAGTCGGTCTCCACCTGTTACAGATTTGTTTGAATTATTACTATAAACCTTTACATGGTGACCTATGCCACAAATTACATAATATATTAACTTTCGTGCACAAAAATAAAATTGGGAAACCATAGTTAAATTTAAAGAACATAGAAAAATCACAATACTATTAAAGGGGAACATCTGATTCTCATATAAATTTGTACTGCAAGAATTTCATGATGGTCAGATGTGAAACTTCATATTTAGAAAAGAAAAAGTACATCAACTGAATAATGCTAGTAGTATATAAAGCCAAATCACACAAGATCATTTCAAGATCAATGTAATAAATGCTTATTATTTAGCAGAAAAAAAAATCAGGAACAATGTACAAAATAATAGTGCAAGAACAGCTGCAATCTATTTGTTCTCATCAGTTTTGAGATTTTGGTTAAAAACTTTACAGCTGGCGAGAGATGCTGCTGAAAAACTCAGATTCCACTCAGTGGGCTGATTAAGGCACATCTTTATGGACTTCAAATGTTCATTTTCTGTGTTCATGTCTATTGAATTCTGCGGCTCCGAGACTTTCACTTGTAGTGTGCTGTGAGAAAAGAAGTGGGGGTAGGAGAGGGAAAAAAAATGAGAAAAAGTTTAGTACACTTTCCTCTTGCCCTGCAAACAAGCTGATAAAAGAGGCAAGATGAGGTGGTGGCAGATCTGTATTCTGCTGGGGATTTTTGTTGTTTTAGCGCACGATGTTCCAGGAACACCGAGATTAGAACCTGACTGTGCTGTGCAGCAGATCGGCTGGTCTCTGTGGGGATGGCTGAGGCCTGTCCATTGGCAGTGTCAGTCCCAGGGCAGTCTCCTGCTCCTGCTGCTCCTTTGCAGGAGCTGCAGTAACAGCTGCTCTTGCTTCAATCATCTCCAGCTGACTACTATAAAGGCACAGAGCAGGAACTGGGCAAGAGTTTGGGGCTTGTTTTTATTGCTTAGTGCAGCCACGGAAGGAC